GTATATATATATATATCCCACCAATCACGCCTTTCAATGAGCAAGAAGGAAAAGACAATAATGGCAACAAACAAATCATATTGTATTTGACCCATGAATCCGACTATCATTACATTATGTCAAGGCCATACATTGAATTAACTTCGTTATTATTCAGAAGCAGATGGAATGGCTATGGTGACAAATAACAATATCATACAATTGCATACGAACACGACAAACCATACATCTATACATCTAAATTTCCACATATTTCTATCTGTATATATGTATATACTCGTTCCATATATGTATATATATCTTTGGACGAACCATTGTGGTGGTACCTCAGCAGCCACAAGACCGAGTTGGGCACCCGTTTTAATATGTGCATCCACGTGCCAAACATCGCAGGGTCCAGCTTGTACAGTTGGCTAAAGTTGCAAAACACAAACTGATCTTCAGGCAGCCCATAGGTGCTTCGACTGGGGCTGATGCTGTCCACGTCTAGCACTGACAGAGCGCTCTGCTTATGATCGTTCACAAAGAACGACTGCGGCATGTACAGCACTTTCTCCGTGTACCTACTTATTCGTTTAATTCTATAAAAAATAAAAATAGAGAATTGAAAAATGTATTATAAGAGAGTTTAAGCTTACCCCACAGCCGCCACGTCCACTGGCAAGACGATCTTGTCGGCGACAATGTACTGCATGTACTCTGCACCCATCGACCCGTGGAACCCCATCAACGATACTTGAATGGGTGCAGGACGCAGCGCAAATATTTCCGTTCGTGCACCTATATTTATAATTTATCGAAAAATCTAAACAGAATGTCCTGCCGTCGTACTGTACATACTGCAGAGTAGGAAACAACTAGGTACTAGGAGGATATATACACGTGTATACGTTTATTGTAAAATCCCTTCACACAGTGAAGGTAGGACAAACTTTCAAAACGAATATTCCAAGTTCATATATATATATATATATTGTGGAAACAAAGAGAAAAAAATTAAAAAATATATTTTGCTTGCAAACGATATGAGTATATATATATATGAGTTTTAGACTTGGACACGAACGGTTGTAGTAACGTATCTATGCACCGCCTCCTCTTATACCTTTGGTATATCCGTTCAAATTGACGAGAATGTGAATGCCGTCGTTGTGGATAAGTCTGGCGGCGTCCCCAGTGGTCATGGCGCTCAGATCTTTGAAATGCTCGGCGTCCGCTTCAATTTTCCGCCGCCACTGCGACTGGTCAGACGATGACGTGGCATAACAAGTGACTTCGATGCGCTTCGAGTCGTGCAAGCCAAACACGCTCTGCATCAGATGGGACAGCGGGTGGTTGCCAAAGTTGGAGCTGACATACCTAACAACAACAACAATAACCACCGTTATAATTGATATTTAACCTTGTTTTTGACAACTATAACAGCATTATCATTGAAACTGGACATGTTTTCAGGATCAACGGCCTACTGCTTGTATAGATGAGATGCACTGCATAAAACACTTGAAAGAAAGAACAGGATACATGGGGCTTCGTAGGAACACAGACCTGCTCATGATATAGACGACTACATTATATATATAAATCATTATTGATATATATAGAATTATTATTGA